GGGTTGCAAGGGACTATCAGGCACAAGGGCATCACACTGTTCCCAGGCCTATTTTGTTTACATTTGATTCAATCAAGTTGTGGCCTTTTGGCCTCTTTCCAAATTAACTTCTGGGTGACCTCCACCATGCCCTCTCCCAGCAGCCAGGCCGCCGGGAAACAGCCCATTAAACCTACAAACAAATATGGGACATATTGGTTGATCAAACCAGCTTCAAACATGGCTCTGGAAACGCCCAGGCTGTGCTTTTAATGCAAACTTCAAGTCTATTTTGTCTTCGGTCAGTCGCACCTCTGAGCCTCCTGGCTTTTTTTTTTGGTTTTCCCTTCCAGCTATAGCTCTGTGTTTTACTGCCTCATAAAATCTCTGAATTTTTGTTCCCATCCTCCTGTAAACCCTGAGAAGAGCAACGTGAGGGTCTCTCACATGGGGCTCACCACAGGGCCCAGGTCTTTACACCGAGCACATGAAGAAAGGCAGCAAGACCCTGCTTGGGGGAACAGCTGCATCATTCCAAGAAATCGTGTCTTCCCCTTATTTCCAAGGAAATAAATCAAAGGGAGTTTCTCAGGGTCTGTGAAAGCATATTGCCTGGATTCCCATCCCCAAAGGGTTTATTTTTTCAAGAGCTTATATGGTAGTTAGATTTCTGGCTAGAGAATATGCAATATGATAAAAACACAGTCCCTATATGGGGCAATAAATTACACATTGTTTGATGTGGAAACCAAAGAACTGTCAAACTCCAGTATATCTGAAAAATTCTAAATGAGCCCTTAACTCGAGTGTCTGGAAATGTACAGTATGTTTCCAGGCCATTCAATTTTGTAAAGACACATCTCCCCCACTTAAGTTTCCTTTTATGGATTTTAGTATTCATTTCTGGTGTGGTTGTTCCCTCCTTTTGTTAAAAAATTGTGCTCTTCCTCCTCGAGACAGTACTATGATACACACCAGGATTTAACTAAACATAAACAGGGATTGGAACTGGGCACAAGCTAAAGGAGGTAACTGCACTAAGGATGGGGTAAAGCATCTGCTGCAGTGGTGTCAGAGCCCCCAGGGCACTGGAGAGGGCACAAAAGCCACCTCAGGACAGACAGGGACAGGAGGGAAGACCAAGAGTATCATATCAGCCAATCTGGTCCTACAGATCCCTGCTTTATCCTCACACCAGCATCACTCAGGTCCACCCTCCAGAGCCTTTCATGGATGAGGATGATCAACAGGAGGTCACCAATGTGGCAGAGCTCCCAGGCTGTGGGGCATGGGACACCACAGCTCCCAACTCCATGTTTATCTCTTAAAACTTGAAGCTCTTACCCATCTGTCAGCCATCCAAATGTCTCCCAGTGGTGGGAGGAAAACTGCATGACCAGAGGAAATAGCTCACCTCGCACACAGCTTTCTGCCTAAGGACGGTTCCGAGTCACAAAAAAACTGAGCAAGACCTTGCACTGACACTGAACAACCTTTCAGTTTCAATATACTTTTACGTGTGGGATGAGTGAAAACCCTTCTAGCTAGAAACAGACCCCATCCACTCTGGGAAATAAAAGTTAGGAACCAATTCCAACTCATTTTCCTGAAGGTGACCCTTAGCCTCCCAGCTGAGATAACAATGCTAATATTTATGGATGGGCTGTTCATGCCTCTGGGCACACAACAAAAATAACTCAAATCAAAACTTGGTAGACATCTAACAGAACTGGGGAAAAAAAATCTACTTCCAATATGGCAATAATAAACCATCTCAACCACCAATACATGAAAAAATAGCATCAGCCACAATCACACATTTGGGTGAAACAAAAATGGTCTGATGTAATGAATAGGCATCACTGAGGGTGACTCATCTAGAAAGGGCTGACTTGAGACAGCACACTACTCAGGCACTGTGCTTTATTCATTTATTTATTTATTTCAGCTTGATAGAAGGTGCTCAAACCAAAAAAAAAATATCAATCTGGGAAACTTTCACTTTCCCTTCTCTCTGGGTTAGGTTTTCTACACTCCTTTCAGTTCCCACAGGTTTAATTCTAATGCACAAACCCCATTCTCCTTTCAAACTGCAAATGTTTGATGAGAATTTCTCATGTGTATGTGTGCACATTTACCTAGATTTGGGTTGAGGAGACATGAACTAAAGAACGAGCACGATTTCTATACACAACACATTCACCAAACTCAAGCAAGCTCGAAAATGTGGTGAACTGCTGAAAGCAGACATTTTCAACAGTGTGAGCAGCCTGGAATAAAGCAAAGCCAAGTCATCAGCAAATTACAGACATTTTAGCAAAAACCTACAAGTAAAATCTCTGGGACTCTACGAGAATTGCACCAACTAGCACGGTTTCTGAGTCTGCCCACACCCACAAAATCCAGGCTGCATCTCTTAACAATACACTGTGAGGAAGCCACAACATTGCACTAGATTCACAATTTACGGGTAGTCACATGGGGAATCTGGCTTACAGCTCTGAGCACTACAAAGACGCTCTTTTCCCCCAAAAAATCCTAGATATTGGAAAATCCTTAAAAGCCACTGTTGGCTTGAGCTGCTTGGATAAGGAGATTTTCACCCCACCCCAGCTCAGGAGTCCCCACTGCTTCACAAATCTGAAGCCAACACCTGAAAAACACAACTGTAATTCATCCAGAGCTGCGGCTCCTTCCACATTTCCTACTCTTTGGCATTCAAGATGCATTCCACATGTGAAAGAGAGCTCAAAACTTCCTTAGGTCAAGAAAATAAGTGTGATGGTGAGTTCTGGTATCCCAAATCCCAAATTTAAGTAACCTCTGCAGTTACTTTCACCATTTATAAGCTATTTATCATAGACTACAGGCCCTCCACAGGAACAGAATCATATCATAGAATTACAGAAAGGTTTGGGTTGGAAGCAACCCTATAGATAATCTAGTTCCAACCCTCTGCCGTGGGCAGGGATACTTTCCTTATACCATGTTGTTCAAAACCCTATACAACCTGGCTTTGAACTTCCAGGGATGAGGCATCCACAGCTTTCTGAGCAAGCTTCATAACTAATTTTCACAAATCACTTCCCATTTTCTCCTGATTTTATTCTCAATTCCTCCTCTTTCTCAAACACAACTTTACAAAGAGTGTTCAATATTTTTCAGACTCTTAATTTCCACCGTTCAAACCAAAAGAGTTTACCTGCCCCCCCATAATATGTTCCAACCTGATCCTACAAGCCAAGGAGGGGAAGCATTGAAAGAGATCACAACTAAAGGAGACCATATTCACCCCCTCACCACTATTTTTCTCTGAGCAGCAGCTGACAAGAGACACTGCTGCTGCAAACAGCTGAATAGGGCTCAGCAGTGTTTACCCAGGGTCTCCCACTCCACAGATCTCCACTCCTCAGCAGCCTGAGCTGTTCAGCAAAGACCTAACTTGACCCAGTCTGGCAGCCAGCATTTCACAACCACTTTATGTCAGCAGTTTCAAGTACACTAATAACCATGTTTTGTTCAGTGCGACTTTCTCACTGTGAACGGCAAAATATCATTATCACCTGCAGGTTGAAGCCTGCCCTCTATCCCATTTAATAGGGAGTTGATTATGCTATTCCCCCCCCTTCCCCTTTCAGTAATTATGGGCTGTTGGCAGATGGCACCGCTCGGCACGGGGAGCCGTGTGGGAAGGCAGAGCAGGCTGTAGGGCCGCTGTCCCCATCAGCTCCCGCGTGCTGGGGCGCTCCTGGGGACCCCAAATCCCTCGCTGCATCCCACTCCCAGACAGCACCTAATGAGGCGTGCCTGCATCACAGGGCACTGGGGTTAAACCGGGAACAGCTATGAAAACAGTCCCTGGCAGTGGCAGGAGCAGGAAAGCAGAGGTTTGCAGAAAAGTTGCTAAGACAGCAACTCCAAACAGAGCAGCCCTCACGGCCCACCCGGCCGGGAAGCAAAGCTGAGCTTAACCCCAGGAACCCAGCTGCTGCCCACACCATGCCAGAGAGACCCTGAACAAGGTCCCCCACTGGTAAGAGCTCTCTCAGGAGAGACTGGGCAGCTCAGCTGCATTAACTGTGTTTCCACCTGAACGTGTGTCCTGTAAAGTCCCAGTAAAGCAGCAAGTCCAAGGTACATCCCCTCTTTGAGTTACTGCAACGTCCCATACTCAGTGACAGAGACAGGGGAGAGCAATGTCCAGAGCTGGACCCCAGCCCACTGGCCCAAGGCAGTGCTGTGGAAGAGTTCTGTGGAAGGACAGCCACAAGCTGAACACTGTACAGAGGTGCCACCTAATTTCCTGGCAGCAGCAGGGCTTGTTCACAGACCTAATCTGGTATGGCATGATGGGTAGAGACAAGATACTGCTTGTCCCAGGAAGGATGCCAGGTCTGAGGCAGTGGGAAGGAAGCTTCCTCCCCAGCAGAAAGGATCTCATCCAGCCCTGCCATTTCCCCCTTCAACAGTAACTTGCCCCAGCAGCTGCTGGGAGTGGATGTCCAGGGAGATACAGCAAAGAAACAGGTGATCCCTTCTGCCAGCCATGACCAATACCAAAGGGGATTCCTCTGACCAGAGGGGACATCAGGCATGTGCCACACAAGCCCCTGCCAGCACCTTGTGCTCAGGGGGACCACGGCAGCTCCATCTTTCCTGGTCCTCCTCTGTGCAGGGGACAGATGCCCAGCAGAAGCACACTGCAGGGATGCATCCAGACATCGGCCAGGCACAGGCTGAGCCCTAGAAGGCTGCAATGCATGTACCCCAACAGCTCCCACTGACCCACAGAGAATCACACCAGCATGTATCCAACAGGACCTGCCACGTGTGCCCTGCAAGCCTGGTACTGTGCAGGGCCGAGGTGGCAGTGGCTCCGTACAGAGGGCTCTGCACAGAGCTGCTGAAGATGGAGACACCCTGGGCTGTCTGGCTGAGCCCAAAGAAAGTGTGGGGGAGGCCAAACTGATTTGGAAACCGCCCACTCTGGAGCCATCCCTGCTGGCACGTCTGCAACAAACCTGGTTGATGTGTTTCAGCTTGTCAATAATCTGGCTGATCACTGGCTCCAGACCTTTCATCTTCACCTCATGGTTGCCAGACTGAGCTTTTGCTCCGTTCCTTGTGATTTGGGGACTGTACCTGTAGGAGTGAGAACAGAGGAGACCGTGATGTGATGGGCTAATACAGAGGAGATCTTTAAAGTTCAGTAAAAACAAAAGAAATCCCAAGATAAGCATCATCCCTTTCCAAAAGAGAAAGCACAAGACAGTTAATAATGACAAAGAAAAGGCAGAAGATTCCTATAAAAATTTTTGCTCTGACTTTGCAAAGCAGCAAGATGATGTAGTTGTATCACTTGAGGACAGTGAACTCCTTTCCAGTCCATTAGTAACCAAGGAAGACGTTAAACAGTATACAACAGGGATAAATATTTTCACATGACTTGCACCCAAGAGTCCTAAAAAAGCTGGCTCAGAAATTCTGGCTTGCTCATGTTTGTTTAAAATAAATCTTGGCAGACCACAGAGACTCCAGTACAAGAGTGGTAGTGTTGTGCCCACAGCCAAAAAAAAAGTGAGTGGGATGACCCAGTTAACAGCAAGCTGATTAGCATAACATCAACCCCCTTGCAAAATAATGACTATCACTGATGTGTGATTTCAATAATAAAGAATTAAAGCACCAGAATATAATTAATGCTGTCAACATTGCTAATGGAAAATAGGTGTTGTCAAACAATCCTGATTTCAGTCTTTGATGAGATCCAGCCTTGGGGATCAAAGTAGCTGCTCAGACAGAACGTACCTTGACTTTGGCAAGGTGCTGGGCTCTGCACCGTGGGGTACCTTCATTTACACAGGTACCATTCAAGTCAGCAAAGCCCCCATAAAGCAGATTAAGCTGCCAGGGCAACTCTGCAGAGGAGGGCAGCCAACCCCGCACTCAGCTTTTTCACTGGCAATTAGGAAAGAAATACACATTCACTTGCTGCAAGATTTATGGAACAGCCAAGTTTATCAGAGGAATAAAAGTGAGGGGAAGAGGGACAGAGGGGCTGCTGCTCACTTGCCTGCAGAGGAACGCATGGTAACAGCTCATGATGCTCCAGACATGAGACAAGCACGTCCACACCAACCTCAAACTCGGCTTCAGGACCAGAGCAATCGGCTGCCAGCACTGCCTGCTGCAGCCACAGCAGTGGCACAGAGCACACAGGTGCCTTCTCAAGCTGTGGGTTGTTGGTACTCATCACAGCCCCAGTGACAGGCCACGGTACTCTTTGAGCACAAAACAAGTCCTCGTCTCCAAGAACTGTCAGCCAGAACAGGCGCTGCCAAACCCCGGCACAGCCTACGAAAGTGAGATCACCGAGATAACACCAGCACCAGTCTGCTTTACTGTACATCTGTTTTTCCAGTGTCGTGGGTAAGCAGGATGAATATTCCTTTCTGCACTCATCTCCTACATATCACGTCTTTTACCAGCTCCCACCCTAGCGGCTGCCTCCCTGTCTGTCAGCTCCCTGCTCCCCTGCCCAGCTAATCCTTCATCCCCACGCTGCCAGGCAAGCTTGGGCAATGACAGTCGGCCCATTTCACATAGGTTTTGGATTGAGAGTAGGACTTTAGCAGGCATTTGAAGAAGGGGAGAGAGACAGGAGAGATGGTGGGGCCAACTCAGGGAGGATGCTTTGCTAGTGTAGAAAGCAACAGGCACAGGGACATTTGGCCACAAGAGTTGTCAGGGTACACTGAGGGTTTCAAGGACACATGGGCTTGGTTTATGCTCTACTTAAACTCTAAATTAGGAATGAGATTGACTCAGACATGTTGGAATGCAAAGGCAACCTCAAATCTATACTGGTGCAGCAGGAATCTGCCCCTGACCTGAAATATTCACATCATGTAAAATACAAAAGTGAGCCTGACTTCCACTCTAAGGCAGGAGTTCTATGGTCAGGAGCTCTGCATCTCCAGCTGGGTCCCCAGTGCTGGGCATTCCCCATACATAGCTCTGCTGATGGCTGATGAGCCTGTGAGATGCTGCCCTGAAAGAGATGACAGATGAAAAAGAACAGGAGAAGGAGGTGTGTGTGCCTACAACAGAGGCACATGTTGTTTATTATGTGTTTATGCCCATGTTTATTCCTGTTTCCAGGCATAAACACTTTGTCCAGGTACAAGTGTCACTGCAAAGCAGAGACATCTACTTGGTTCTCCCCAAGCCCCACAAGCTTCTCAACATGGGAGCAGCTGCCTGCACATTCAGCCTACCATCCTGCACTTCAGCACCAGCACCATACTCAGAGCTCTGCTCTCTACACCTGTCCCTATGCTGGGGCCTCCTGGTAGGACTCAGTATTTTGCAAAATACTTCTTTTTTTTTTTTAATAGTTGCATTATCCTGTGAGGCACAAAACACAGCTTTACCTGAGACACAATAGTTCCCAGTTCAGAAAAGCCCTCACACGTCCAGTTAGAAGGCTTATTGTAGGTTGAGAGCTTAGGGACTGGGAGAAGTGGGGCCAGAGCAAGCCAGGCTGGGTGCCAGCCTGCAAAGCCCATGTCCAGGAAAGGGGCTGTGCTCCTGGCACAGCCTGGCCGCATGCTCCGAGCACCATCTCGTGGGAAGAGGCTGCTGCTGCTGCAAGCACGGACCTGCCTGGCTCTGCTAATACTTAGGCTGAACTTTTTGCAGGGGAACAAAGCACTGAGGAGCAGCAAACCATTAACCCTGCTGCTTGTTTTTCATACAGGCCCTTACTGCCACTGTGCCCACCTGACAAACACACCTGGAGACTGGATGTAAACATCCAGAAGATGCATGACTTTTTAGATGCCAAAGAAATTACTGCCTTTGGTGTCACCGTAAATTTAATTTAAAACATTAATGGAACTCAAAAGTGCATTGCTGAAGAGCCTCCTGTGGTTTCAGAAATTTAACAAGCAAACTCACACAGGTTTTAGCATGAGCAGGACCAAGCCCACTTGGTGCATACCTAAATTAATACAACATCTTTCCTAAACACTTTTATATAAAGAAACACAATAGCTTGGGTCTGAGTGAGTGAAATCCCTTCTGAAATCCATACAACGGTTGCCAGAGACAATCTCTGTAGCCTAAGCTCCTTTCTGTCGTACAGAAAGGAGGAACACATCACTACAATAGTACTATACTCTGTAACTTCATGTCCAAAAACTGAAATTGTTCTCCAAAAAGTTCTACTGGAGTTTGGTGAGGACCTCAGATCACTCTTCCCAGGGGATTAAGTCTACTAGAGAAGGAAGCAACCTCAAAGCATTTGCAGAAGGATCTGTCTCTAAAACAACTATGATGGAGAAACAAAGCGTCACCACCTGGTGCTTCCCACCTGGCCAGGTACAAGGGTATGTACTAGACCCAAAATGAACGATTTGCATCATTACACAATTATCATTTGAAGCAGCAAGGCAGTGGGCAGTGCAAGCTGCACATCCTTGAGCATGAATGACAAAAAAGGAGACACACAGAAACACGCTAAGTCCGAACAGCCAGAGACATAGTGCTGTGTGGCATGGATGTTTTGGGACACACTGCCTCTTCATGGCCAACCTGAGACCTCCTGGTGTGTTCAGGCATCAGCTCCCCTCGGTTGTGCCCCTCTCTGGGGTGGCCACACTCAGGCACGCAGGATGCAGCCAACCGAAGGGTTAAAAGCTTTGAAATGTAGCTTCAGCCAGCGACCTGCATTCCTGAAATGCCAGAAAAGCTGGAAAAGGCAGCTGGCACCCCTCCCTGCAGCCTGGGCCAAGCAGCCGGGCCTTAATATGGCAGAGAGATGCTTTTCAAGGCCCCAACAAGCTCGAGAATGGGGGTCCCAGTACAGGCCCCACGCTGGCTCCTCTGCACCCCCACCATTCCAAGCTGCTGCAGGGCTGGTGGGCTCGCAGGCAAAACAAAACCAAAGCAGCACCTTCCTCCCATGTTCTCCAGTCACAGTGCAGAAAAGGGAAAGTCTCAGAGCCATCTCAAGCTGCTTTCAACTTATGCCAATAAAACAGCCCTTCTGCAAGACACTTGTGCCACTCCATGATACCCATCACATACCTCTGCCATGGTCACTGATATCAACAGGGAACAGCAAATATGCACAGTGGATAAAGTCCACCCCACGGTCCCCGGGGGTCCCTGTGCCAAAGGGGTATCAGTGTTGCAACATGAGCATCGTTTGGCTTCCACTTCATAAGCAAAGCCCAAAATACTTTCCTCTTTGACGTGTCTCGACGTCAGTCAGCAGCATCTCCTTGCCTGGGCTCCCTGGGTATGGGCTCTTGCTGGGGGATCCGGTATTTTCCAAGAACAAATGTCACATTTTAAAATGTGCTGATAAGTGGCCCTCAGTAAAAACTACTTTCAAGACAACCATCTAATGAAAACACCAACAATCTGAAGTCTTCTGTGGGGATGGCATAACTACAGACCCCTCCTGCTCCTTCTCATCCACCAGCCATAAATGCCCAAGTATGCCGTCAAATTAAGGGATTTTCCCCTCCTTTTCTCCCCACCATCCACAAATGTCTCCTGTGAATGTTTGGTCTTTCCAGACCAAATGCAGCTCGTTCCAAGCTTTCATTTCAGAGCAAAGAAGGCAGGATGACAAATGCTATTTAAATATATGGCAATGAATTTAAAGCGTGTGTTCATCCTACTCTGCCATGCTAGGCTTTGAGATGAGTTACTGCAATGCCTGAAGTGTGATTTAGAGAAAGTAATCATGGAAGTCAAACATAAAGAATTACACCTTTTAGAAAAAGGAAAGTAAGTATGTCATTCAAATAACAATTAATTTACGCCTGCCTTCCAGTTGCAAATTATTTATTCAAACACAGCACCACGATTTAAACAGCGTGGTATCCCCTGCAGGCTCTTCCTCTACTATCCATGTTCACTGGATCATACTTGTTTGAGAGAGTGCATGGGGGACAAACACAACACAGACTGCTACAAGACAGGACTACAGTGCCAGAGAAGAGGTTTCCCTGCACCGGAGGTAATAGCAGAGCTCCGAGCCTGTGAGAGCAGCATTCCCAGCACCTGCAATTCCACAAGGCTGCTGCTCTGCATTTCAAGACATGACTTACTGTAGACCATGTGGACTG